TATATGCAATAATATAATACATTACAACACCACAAGGGTTCAGCTGTCATTAAGAGAAGTCTTACAAAGCATGTCCCAGATTTAGGAGTTTTAAAAGTGCTTCACGAGGAATTTCTGAGTATAGTGGAAGCCCATGGTGCTCATGAGGAAAAAGCCCCAAAGGACAAGATAATATTCCTAAATCACAGAATTGCCAATGTGAACAGGAAGGATAGTTTACTTGGGGCACATGGAGTGCTTTATCTATATTGATTTGCCAATATTTGCTGCTTTTGCGGTTAATTCCTCTGTAAATCAAATCTCTGTGTAATTTCTGACAGGAAATAGCTAACAGGGGATGAATTTTATTCTTAAATAGCATTGGGAGTTGGGTCCTGTGTTAGCATTTACCTTCTTTAGGTGCCTGAGCTTTTATCAAATTTGTACTTCTAACCACGGAGAGAGATTGAGCTATTTTAATCAAATAAAAAGTGAAATGTGTCCCGTCCCTCATCTCTAGAGAGAGGAGTGGCAGTGCTGGTCAGTGAGATGGTGATGCCTGAATGTAAAGTCTCCCTAGTTCCTTCCTTTCTGTTTTTATCCATATATAGAAAGAAATAGAAAAGGTTTTAATACATTCAGTTACTAGAATACAGTAAACAAGCCATCAATGGAAAAAGCACTTCAGGTCCAGAACCCTACCGGCTTTCCCTTCCCATTCCAAAGCATTTACAAAATTTTTCATGACTAGGAGGAAATCTAATGGTAATTATGTTGAAAAATCTTGACACATGAACAATCTGCAAGGTGTCTTCCTGTTGCTTGGAAAGGACTACTCAACATAAACGGTTATGTTCTTTCAGCACCCCTTCTTGTTCCCGGTGCAGCAGCCTCAGACCCGGCTCTGAATTTTCGTTTGTTCAATGGAACTAAGTCTTTATTTTTAATTTAATTGTATTCTTAATTGAAAACCAATGGTCATACATTTATGGGGTATAATATGATGTTTCAATACATGTATCCATTGTGGAATGGTCAAATCATACTAAGTACCATATCTGTCACTTCCCATATTTACCATTTTTTGTGGTGGAAACATTTAAAATCCACGCAGCAACTTTTGGTTATATAGTACATTATTATTAACCGTACTCACCACGCTGCACAACAAATTGCTCAGACCTGTCTAACTGGAACTTAACCCTTTGACTGTTTTCCTTACCCACTCCCTAGAAGACCTCCACGAAGAGAAGTAAGTCAGATGCAGAAAGATATATACCATGATCTTATGTAGAGAGAATTTAAAACACTTGGGTTCATAGAAGTAGAGAGTAGAGTGGTGATTACTAGAAGCTGGGAGGTATGTGTGAATTTTCTTCTTTTTAAAACTGTTCATGGCCAATCTGCCATAGTGAAGTTAAGCCCAAAATGAAGCAGCCTACTGTGAATAAACTGAAAAGGAGAAGAAAATTATGAATCATGCTGTGTACCTCAGAGTTCCTGTGGTATTGCTGCCAGTAGAGGTGGAATGGGTGACCCTTCAGTGTTGTCACCAAGGTCCTCTTCCCTCATCTTGTTAGTGTCAGGACTGTCCACTGGCATCTTACGTTCCTACATCAGTCTTTCTCAAGGTTTTCTCAAGGCTTGAATTTATTTTCCTCCAAAAGTCACTGAATGTGGCCCTCATTAAACCCTACTCAGAATCATCAGACATGGTTAAAAGCTCATGGTGACCATTTATCCCTTCCTCCCACTGCTGCTGAAGCCAAACAGGACCTGAGAGACACTAATGAGGCCACATAACAGAAAGGGGAAGGGAAAAGTGCGTCACCTCTTATCAGTGTGCCATTCAGAGGGATGATTGCAACCCTCTTTAAAATTAAACTTTCAATTTTGAGGTCATTGTGGATTTCTATTATCAAATGACAGTAAATGAAGAAATTCCCATATACCTTTTACTCAGTTCTTATGACTGAAACATTTTGAAAAACTACACTACAGTTTATACCACAAGAATGCAGACATTGGGCTCCCTGTGGCGCCCTTTTTATACACATCCGCCTCCCATTCTTCCTTCACCACAACCCCTGACAACCACTCATCTGTCCTCTCCTCCATTATTCATTCATTTGAAGAACATCACATAAATGGAATCCTATGGTGCATAACCTTTTGTGACTGGCTTTTCTTTACTTAATGTAATTCCTTCTTCTTCTTCTTCTTCTTCTTTTTTTGTTGTATTATTTTTACCAAGTGTTCGGGAGGTTGTCTCATAATTACGTGGAAATTGCATCTTTTTAATAGCGTTAAGAAGTTAACAAGCAACTTGAATATACAATATACCCTTTGATCCTATCAACCAGGTAGAAAGACTGAAAGTTTAAAAGGATAAACAAGTTTCAAAGACTGGATTGGCTGTCTCTCTGAGAAACCCATTTCTTCCGTACCTACAGCTATACCGGGCAGCTTCTGGGTTGGAAAGGCGTGACCACGTGATCCTGGATGGTGTGAAGTAGCCAATTCCTACCTGGTTTATAAAAACAAACTTCCCACACATATCTTCTCACATTCTTTTTTTTTCTCTGATAGTCTTGGAAACCTCTGTGAAATTCAGTGGAGCCACATGTGAGACAAACAACTCTGATTTAATTCTTAGGGTCTCCTGACCCTTCGAGGCATGGATCACCACAGATGAGAGCAGCCCCTGTCACCTGGGCCAGGTGGAAGGGAAGAGACCTAGCAGACACTGTCCCTTTCTACCTGCCAGGCAGGGCTGCCTCCTGTTCACGTCCTACCCTCACAGAGTCCGAGCCAGCAGCCTCAGGCCACTTCAGAGTGTCCTCACAGTTTTGCTGGAGGTTTGAGTTTTTCTTTCTGTAATTCTTTTGAAGTTAATCTTAAGGAAACAGAACTGTGCCAATTCAGCATTTCCTTAACTATTATTTAAGAGGTTTTATCCATGAATTAATTTGGTTTCTGTTATGAAAGGAAAAAATTAAAAGCAGAAGTAGGAAAAGGGTAATTTGGGGCTTATCTTACTGAAACACATTGTATTTCCTTTTTGTAGAGATATTTTCTTAATTCAAATTGTGTTTTGTTTTCTTTTCAAGTGCTAGTGAATGAATATATTCCCTCTTTCATTTATTGAACTGATATTTATTGAGCACTTCCTTTAGCACAGACTTTTTTATTAAGTTTATTTGTACTTTTTAGATATACAGTACATTTACATTCATCATTGGGAACGTGTACCCTTTACATTATGTATCTTGGTTCTTATTTTCTCCCCATTCCTCTGCCCTCCCTTCACGCCCTTCACCCTTCCCTACTTACAAAGACTTTGTTTCTATTTTTTCCTTTTCTCATATTTTTTCCTTTCCCCTACCCTTCCCACTTCCCCTACTCCTTTAGCCCTTTTCTTCCTATTTCATGTTATCATTTATACAATTTGAACCTTATTTACACTTTATTTTTATTTTTGGTGCAGGGATTGAACTTGGGTCCTTGCACTTGAAGGCAGGCCACCAAACCACTGAGCTAAATCCCCGGCCCCTTACACTTTAATTTTTCACACCAGAGAAACTATTCGGTATTTACACGTGTGTCCTATTTATTTCACTTAAGAGTATGGCCTCAATGTGTGTCCATTTAACTATAAATAACTGTAGTTTCTTGTTCTTTATGGCTGAGTAGTACTCCATTTTATAGAAAAACCACATCTTCTTTATCCAGTCTCCAGTTGATGGGCAGTTGTGCTGTTTCTAAGTTTTAGCTATTGCAAACTGTAACACAGACTTTTTAATGTACCCTATGAGCTGTATTTTAGCAACTGAGAAGCAACTGCTGGTGTTGGAAAAAAAAAGCCCTGTGTCTTTGTCTGTTCAGCAGTGACCACAGTTCTTCTTGAGGTCTGTCACAGGATGTGAGTTCAGGAGCTTGTTGCCTTTCCTAGTCCTCTCGATCTTGTAGAGAAATCTGAAGTGCTGCTGGGAAAAGATCAGTAGCCTTGTGGCCACAGCACACAGAATCTGTTTTATTTCCAGGGTAACAGAATTCTGTGATCTTGTTGGGTGAGGGGTCCTAAGTATCTTGGTATAGTCCTCCAACATACTGCAAGTCAGATGGAATAAGAACCAGAGTTCAGGACAGGGAAATGAAGGAGCCCAGGGGTGGGGTTTGCTAGTGTGTGGAGAGAAGTCTCAATGCCTGGGTGGAGCCTGAGGCTTCCTGAAAATATTTCTTCTCATTTCTTCTCATCTTCCTCTTCTCATCACCACCATTCAAAGATGTTTTTAGTTCTTCTTGTTTCTTTGGTCTATTGAGACAGATGTTGTTGAAGTGGCATGTTTAACACCAGAGAAAAGTGATGGTGTTTCTTTCCACATGAATAGCTGTAAATGAAAAAATGGCTTCTGGAGCTAACCTCTTGGAAGCCTGGCCGGATTTTACCTCCTTCCCCCATCTACTCCCTATCATGGCTTGTCATGGGTTTCTAATGATACTCTTTGCTTTTTTTATTTTTCTTGTTCTTGAAAGATATAATGCAGATTCTGATAGGCCTTTTCCCAAAAAGGCCTACCCATCTAGATTTTTCTAGCATAACTGTGCACCTTGTTTTTTTTTTTAAGGCAGTATGTATGTCCTTTAAGACAAAGTGTGTGAATTAAGCAGAAATAAAAAACATTTTAAAGATAAACTAGTTTTTAAGAAATAGTTCTTTATAAGACCAATAGTGACTGTGTGGTATTCCCTTTCTAAATCACTGCATTTTTTGTTTGTTTGTTTCCTTTAAGAACTCCAAAGGTATGAGATCAATATTAAAAACTCAATAGAGGGCTGCCTTGCAAGCACAAGCTCCCAAGTTTGACCCCCAGTTTCCACCCCCAAAAAAACCCAAAAACTCAGTGGATTGAAGTTTTGAACCTAGATCATATTACCTGTACAATACTATAAAATATGAAGCTTTTCTTGGAACAGGAAGTACTTTCTGCCTAGGATTCACATTCATCGAGCTGGCATACCTGTGCACACATGAGTACTCTCTCACTCCTCACACCCACGGACATGCATCATAAAGGAGATTGAGCCTGTGGAGCAGAAACTAGAAGAGTGAGTAGGTAGTGTGCACTGTGACATAGCTTCATGAAAACAAAAACATGCAAGAATCCGAAGATTCAGAGTAACCAAGAGAGGAGACAGTGACACTCTTAACTAGACAGCCCAAGAGGGGAGAAGGATAACTCAGAAGCAGTTTATATTTGACTCTTTATTCTTTTTCTTTTACCCCTTCTTTCCTCCTTCCCTTCTTCTCTCCTTTTTTTCCCCCCTCAGCACTGGGATTTCATCCAGGGTCTTCATGCCCAACTACACCCCCAGTTCCTGTTTTATCTTTAATTTGAGACGTTATCCAGTCTGGGCCACACTTGAACCTCCTGCCTCAGCCTTCTAGAATGCTGGGATCGTAGGCAGGCACAACCATGTCCAGCTTCTTCCTCTTTTCCTTCCCTTCCCTTCCCCTCCCCTCCCCCTTTCTCTTCCTTTTCCTCTTCTCGTGTTTCTTTGTTTCCCTCTTCTTCCCTTCCCCTTCCTTTCCTCTTTCCACTTTTCCCTTCGATTTCTTTTTCTGATCTTCGCTTTCTTCCTTTTCGTTCTCTCTTGGTAGCAGATTTCCTTGTCTTCTTTCGTATGCAAATGCTGTGCTTGTCTTCTTGCCAGCGGATATTCAGAGGAAGAGAACTGAAATAGAAAGCTGGTAAAGGGATAAGTGCTCAGAATTGAATGTTTTGTGATAATGTTTTGTGACATTTGGGGATGCAAATCTTTTAGCTTTGTTCTTTTATGTTAAACCATATTGGCTCTGGTTCTTTGCATTTTTAAATAAATTTTAGAATTTGTCTAGCGATTTCCGTGTGTGAGAAATTTATTTGGGATCACAGTGAAGCCAGGGAAAATCCCTATTTTATAAAATGTACAACTTATAAACATGGACTACCCTTCCATTTACTTAGGCTATTTAGAATTACCTCGCTAATATCTTGCCACTGGGTGTGGTGGCACATGCCAGTTCTCCCAGCTCTCAAGAGGCTAAAACAGGAGGATCGCAGCCTAAGGTACATCATGAGACCCTGCCTCTCACCAAAACCAAAAAATAAGATAAAATAATATCTTACTATTTTCCACACAGGAATTTAAATCTTCTGTAAAATTTATTCCTAGATACTTTTTATTTTGATATTTTGTAGATAATATCATTTTTTGTTTATTTCTGTTTATCCAGTGGTCTTGTTAAACTTCATTATAATAGCTTGCTTGCACATTCTTTTAGATGTCCTATCTCGATATGATTTCATCTGCAGTGATAATCTTACCTTTTCTTTTTTTATTTCTATTTTTCTTATGTAACTGATGAAGACCACAGTGCAATCTTAAAGTCATGCTAAATCCTCGTGTTATTAGCTGTCTCAGCAGGAAACATTCCATATTTTAGCATCATGTATGAGGTGTGTCGTGGCTCTTTTTATTTGTTTGTTAGACTCGACATCAAATTTAGGAAATACCACTTTTTTTTCTTTGCCATAATACTTAGAAATTGCTATTTTCTCAATGCTTTTCCTCACTCTATGACAATGATCATATGTTTTTTCTCTTTTATTCTTGTTATGATAATGCATTACAGTTATTCTCTTGATTATGAATTTTAAGCCAACCTTGCATTTCAGTTCTGGTTTGCTGTGCTAATCCTTTTTATTTGTTAAAAACTTCAGATTTTTGCATCTTTGTTAATGAGAGAGATTCGCCTGTTAATTCTTTTTATATATGCATAATGTCCTTGTTGGTTTTTGGAATGAAGACTATGGTGGCCACATAAAATGAGTTGGAAAGTATTTCCTCTTTCACTCTTCTCTGAAAGATTTTATATTATTTTTTCTCCTGGAATGTTCTGACAAATTAACTGGGAAAGTGATATAAGTCTATAGTTCTCTTTGTAGGAAAGAGTTGATTTATGGTCTTAATTTATGTGATATGGAAATATTCATATTTTCTCTTTTTATTGTGTCTTTTCATCATTAACTTTTTATAGAATTTTTCACTTCATCTAGATTTTAAATGTTTCCAAAAAAGTATTCATGATAGCCTTTTAAAAAGTCTGCTTGATCTGTAATTATATTCTTTTTTATTCTTGATATTGGTTACTTGTGCCTTTTCTGCTTCCTTCTCTCTTTCTTTTGTTCATTCTTTCTTTCTAAATTTTGAGACAAGGCCTCTGCAAGTTGCTAAATTATGAAAAGTAGGCTTGAATTTGTGATCTTTCTGCCTCAGCCTCCTAGACTGCATTACCATGCCTAGTTATTTCTATTTTTTTCTTGACCAGTCTTGCTTGAGCCACCAATTTTATTAAGCCTTCCAAAGCCTAGTTTTTAGCTTTGTTGATTATTTCTGTTGTTGGGTTTGTTATCTGTGGGGCATTGGTACCAGGACCTTCACAGATACCAAAAACCTATTGATATTTAAATTCCTTCAATACAGTTGTGCATTATTTGCATATAACTTTACGTCTTTAACTGACTTGTAGACCTACCACAATGTAATATTCATAGTTGTTATACTGTATTGTTTCGGGAATGATCAGAAAAGAATCTATGAAATGCAGTTGTAATATTTTTCTCTCGAATATTTTTTATTTCAGATTGGTTGAATCTGAATTTATGGACCCTGAGATACATGGGGTGGGGCCAACTACACAATTTGCCGCTCACCGACCACCACATTCCTTTTTCTGTCACTTTGAACTTTCAAAAATACAAGTTCTGGGCCAGTGGTTTGACTCAGTGGTTCCGCCGCCTGCCTCACAAGCACAAGGGCCAGAGTTCAATCCCGGGTACAAAAACTACAAGTTTTATCAAGCTGCTTCTTCCCCATCCCTTGTAAAAACTCTCCCTTGACTCGCTGTAATCTCTAGGAGAAAATTAGATTTCTGTAGCTTGGCACACTAAGCCCACTGTGAGGTGGTTCCTGCCTTTGTAAGTTTTATCTTCTGAGTTCCAGAAGCCCTAGGACTTCTCCAAGCAGGGCTGTTTTCAGGCTGCTGTCTCAGTTCCCACCCTGTCCCCATCCTACCATGTGAGCCTGGCTGACCCCTCCTTGGTCTCCAGGACAGCCCTGACATCACTTCTTTTGGGAGGCCTGACTCCCCCCTTTGCTTTCTTAGCTCTGTCCCATCTCTGCTGTCACTTGTAGAGACTCCATTGGGTAAGTGGTGGGGGAGGAGTGATGTGGAGGAGATGGGGTGTGACAGGTACACAGAGACACTTGTGCCTTGCACATACTTCACTGATGTGATAAATGCAATGGAGTCTTTTTTATTCAGATGAGCTTTTAGGACTCCAGATTCACTGGGACATATAGAGGAAGTTCTGTAAATGATCCAGTTCTCTCTCACATTCTTTCAGACTGAACAAAGCCAGTCTGAGACCACAGCCATCTTGGCCCTACAGGTATTTTAGGAGTTGCTTATTCATCCTCAGGAGGATCCTCTTATGCAGAACAAGCAGATGTAAGAAATGTGTCTCTGTAGCTTTTTATTCCTATTTATTTTTGCTTTTGCTCTTCTGATGATTTCATTCTAGCAGTGGCTAAAACTCAACAAATGCACCTGCTCTCAGAGCATTGCATTAGAAGGTTTTCTGGGCCCTCACTTAGATAAGGCATAATGCTTAGTCCTACGTGGGACAGTTTTCTAAGTTATGAAGGTAAGCCAGTAGGTTCCTTCTGGATGAAGTCCACCATTACTCGTAGGAATTATCTTTGTGGATGAAAAAGACTTTCTCCCCTCTTCTACTCCAACTGTCTTTTGAATTCCAAAGAACAGCATTCAGGCCTCTCCTTGCTTGTTTTCCCTCTTTCAGCACCTTTATTTATTCTTCTTTATTCAGACTGCCATGGGTGCAGGAGAAGCCCACATATAGGGCTTGCTCTGGGCTTGAGGGCAAAGATAACTGAAGTGATACAACATTTCCTCCTGTGCTCCTATTCTCTGGCAGCTACTTGGACAGAAATGGATGGAAACTATGCTGGAAACTTCACTCAGAAGGGAATCTTTATTTAAATTATTTTTACTGCTCTATATTGTCTTCCTTCCCTCTTCCTTTCCATCCGTCCCTTCTCTCTTTTGCCCCTCTTCTTTGTGATTTTATTTTAAATGCTCCTGAAATGAACTCCATTGGGGTGCCCATACCAAAAATCCTCTTGAGTAGTATTTACAAATTAGATAGCCATCATTTTCGGTATGCAGGCTACCACTTACAGTGGATCCTGACCCTTGGCCTTGTAGGTGGAAGGAATTCACATGGAGAAACATCCAAACACACTTCACTAGGAAAACAGGAAGGCAGTGCACCTTCCTGTTACAGCTTGTCTTCTCCAGATTAACAAAAATACTTTATGATAAGGGTATGAAAGATCCTGACTACCTTTCAGGCAATCCAGTTTTGTTTAAAGATGGATTGAGATGTAGGAAAAACCTACACTATGATGGAAGATGAGGAAGGGTCCTTATGTTCCCAGTGATTTTAGGAACTTTTGACATTGGTGAGTAATAAATTGTTCATTTCTGAAAAAAGCTAATTGGAGACTACCCAGTGCCAATTAGATCCTCCATTGCCTGCTCAGAGGGGTATGGTGAGGGATAAAGACAAAGACAAATTTGTAGGTACAGAGGGACAGGCAGATCAGTGCTTCAGATTGGGCACCAGATAAAGACCTCTTCAGCTTGGCCCACTTTCATTAGCCAGTGAGAAGCACAGGGGGAGAGCTAGTGTACTTTTCCTGGAATGAAGTAGTAGAACCCAGGACAGATTTAACATCACAAAAGAAACAAGCTAAGATCCTTCTGCTTATCTGGGTACTTGCTTTCTTTGTGCTGTCTTCCCCAGATGTTATCTTGCCTCAGGATGGCGGGGGTGGCTACATCCCATGTAGCCAGGAAGCCTGCAGACTTCCACAAAAACTTCCTTATTCCTTAAGCAAGTCAGTGTCAGCCTCATGACTGAGGGTCCCACAGAGTGGCCCCCACCAGTCTATACATATCATGACTGTTCCACAATGGGATCTTCTGCCTAAGAAACAGCAGCTTCACCAAGAGGAGTGGTAGGCGGGGGAAGGCAGGGCAGAGCGCTGTAGATGGGAAAGAGGATCTACAGGGGAAGCGGGTACCTATGCAGTGTGCTAAAGTTCAATACCTTTGAAGAGAAGGGCCATCAAGAACTTCCAGAGTTAGAGCAGCAGCTCTGTGAAGCGAAGTTGATAGCTCTACCTTATATTTGACATGGGTGTTGTAGCTAACAGAAACTGGATATTTAGAGTTGGTTACCACGTTTTTTAAAAATTTCTTATTTTTCTATTGTCAAGTTTTTTTTTAATTACTTCTTCCCTCTCGATATGTTTACTTTATCACATCCATTCCAGGTTCTACAGATCTATGTTTTCCCAAATTTTATTGAACCCATAGTAGCTGCTTCGTAAAATTCATTTCTTTTTCCATTGGTGAATTTTCTTTGTTTCAAAAATGAGTCTTTCTCTACATTTTGAGTGCTGTGTTTTCTGTCTTCATTGTTGAATCTTTTCCTAATTTTTTTTTCTGTGTAGTCATTCTTGAGTCAACAGAGGTAAATGTCAACTGGTGGATCCCCCAAACAGAAAGTGGTTTGCCCCAGATTCCCTCCTCTGCCTGCCAGGATGTTAATAAAGTCTTCTGCTCATCTCAGAAGCTAGAAAGTGAGATAGATGCAAAATTATGGTACCTCTTGTGCATCCATAAGATACTTCATTTTGAAAGTATTTGGTCACTTGTGCATCCATAAGATACTTCATTTTGAAAGTATTTGGTCAGTTGAAACTCCTTGGTGAGCCTTGTTTTGGTTTACAGTTTTATGGTGGGTCAGACCATCCTGATAAATAAATAAAACTGCCAATGGTACCACTGGTGATCTACATCAAGAAGTCATTTGTACTGCTGATTTCCTGCTAACCATGGCACAAGACTAGGGTTCTGGTGGAGCTGATTTTTAGGGCTGCTTATCTCAGCTACTGAGTGGGTTTCCAAAGTGGTACTTTCTCTGAGACTTCTACTCTGTCTCTGGCCTGGGGGACAAGTTTCCTAATCACAGGATATCATGAGGTTCTTACAACTTGATTCCCTCACTACTGTGTCTTAGTCCCTCCCTTTCTTCATCACTGGGACAAAATACTTGACATTCACGAAAAGAGAAGAGGTTTATTTTGGTTCAGACTTACACTCCCAGAACAGCTGGCTCCAGGAATCAGTGAGAAAGGGAGGAACTGGGGAGGGAGATAAATCCTTCCAAACTACACACCCTATGGCCCATCTCTTCTAACCAGACCTCACAATCTAATCGCAAGCCAGATGTAAACCCTCATGATCTAATCATCTTCCCAGAGCCCTGCCTATGAGTGTGTAAAGCTTTGAGGGGACATCTAGGTAGAGACCACAGCGCTGAGAGTGGCAGTTATTTTAAATAATTGATAGAAACCCATAATCTATATAATGTTTTTGATCATTTTAATTGGTTTTTAATATTAGATTTTAGTTCATAAGAATAGGACCATATTTTAGGAAAAGAAGTGTCAATTTATTTTCATGTTTAGTTGTCATTGTATTATTAGCATGGGGGAGTTATTAATCATATCCTTAAGAGATCATAATGTTGACATGATTTTATTGAAGTGAAAAGGTACACTCTGTCAAAAGAAACAGGTTACAAAACAGCATGTTTGTTATGGGTACTTTTTTTAATTTTCAAAATTGCATTAATGTATAGAATTATATTTTATTGGCCACTTCTTTCAGGAAATTTTTGAAACTACCTTTTTTTGTGTGTTTGTGTGGTACCTGGGATCGAACTCAGGTCCTTGTGCTTGTGAGGCAGGCCACCGAACCGCTGAGCTAAATCCCTGGCCCTTGAAACTACTTTCTTATACTTTCAAAGATTAAAGATTGGCTTAGTTAAAGATAGGCCTTGAATCCATAGTCCGTTTAACTGGATAGTCTTGAATGTACCATCTTAGCAGATTACTGTCCTAGAGGATGCCTTAAAGTTTGTTTCTATTTTGTGGAAAGCATTTGAAAGATAGCATTTTGCACTTATCCACACCTGAAAATATCTTTGTTGGTGTCACACATACATGACAACTCCAGTGGATATAGGCATACATATTTTCAGTTATACCATATTATTCTCAAAACCTGGTTAAATTGCTTTCTGGTGTTCGACATGGCAGAAGTCTATGGCCAGTTTAAATTTTTGTTACTTTGAAACTGATATGTTTTATTTCCTCAAAGCTTTTCCAGTTTTTAAAAATTATTTTTTGGAATAAAAACTTAAAACTGTATGTTAGGTGTTTTCTTTCTTTCTTTTTTTCTTTTCTTTTCTTTTCTTTTCTTTTCTTTTCTTTTCTTTCTTTCTTTCTTTTTTTCTGCTTGTTTTCGGTCCCTTTTCACCTTTTTATTTGGGTCTCATTTTAGTCTAGGAAACTTTAATTAAAGCCACTTCTGTCTGTTTATTTCCTGTGGAAACCCTGTTATAGGTAGATAAGAAACTCTTGTTCTCACTTCTATTAGTCATATTCTTTCTAATTTTTTTTCTATTTTGCTGTTTGCTCTAAGATTTGCTGAATGGAGATGGCTCCTTTCAGAGATTCATGTTAAATTCATGGTAGAATCTTTCAGCTCCAACAGAAGAAAGACATTTTTGAAAAATTTCAGTTGTTCTCCTTTTACTTTGCCTGTTCAGAGGCCAGACAGCCTAGGGGTAGCTGGGCCTCTTGAGGTGAGAATCAGAATTGGAGGCAGACTTAGCTAGGAATGTGTTTGCTAAATGATGTCCAGTCCTTATTTGGAATAGCAGTTGGGACTTGCTCCTGCCATCTCCCCATTCTTTAGCAAATGGGCTGTCCATTGTGTATTACTGTCAGGCCCTTCCCTGCTAACTCTGGGAGCTGGTGCAGCTAAGGTTGATCCAGAATTTTTCTCATTCTTTATTTTTGGTCATTCCAATGAACTTTGGGAGATGAGTAGTTTATGCTTTTTCAAAAGTCAACCTAGTCTGTCATGTGAATCAAATCTGAGGATATTTTGGAAGATGAAAACAAATTACATAAACCAATGGGAACTGGAGCCTGGTTTCACATCAAATGACTTAAATATCCAGTGAAAATTACCTTCATTTGGTTACCTGTGATGATCAAGGTCAGTGAATAACAACAGTGACAATAATTAAAACAGGAAGTAATGTATTTTATATTAATTTCATTTTATCTTTATATCAACTGGGAAATTTTGCAGTTGGCTCTCCGTTTTACAGATCGCACTCAGAGAAGTTAAATATGTTGTAAAGTAGAATTCAAGCTCAAGTTTATTTTCAGAGTCTGTATTCATCTTTGCTGGGTATCAAATGGCCTGAAGAATAGTCCAGATTTCTGTGGTATTTACATTGTTCCTAGTTACTGCACTTTGATCATCTGCAGGCATTTTATTGCCCTCATATATGCTGAGTCCTCTGTGCACATAATGTTCATATAAAAAGAGAACATGTTTTATTATTTCTCTTGGACTATCTACAATGCCTCTGCTTATCATTCATCCTCATTTTTAAAAAAATTGAGTATGTTTCCACTTTCACAGGGATTCTTCCTATGCAGTAAAATGGTTTACATTTATCTATTTCTTTGGTGGTGGTTTAAATCTTCTCATGTCTGCAAACATCCCTGGACTGTGTTCTGCTGTTTTCTAAAGCCAGTGCTGAACCAAGTGCCAGAACAGAGTAAAATTTCAAGAGGTGTTTGGTAAAAGTGCTGCTGGCCATATTTCAGTATATCTAGTTAAAACCACAAAGATAAAATTCTAAGGAAAAGCAAAATAATTGATAGTGTAGGAGCTCAAAGATAAAAGAGGGCTAGAAAGTGTTGGGAATTACCAGGCCTGGCTGCTGAGAAAATTTTTTGTCTTTTGCCTAACAATGGGGAAAATGTATTATTTATTTTATAGCTTATTCATTTGGCCCATGGTTATTTTCCTTTCAGATGTATTGGAACAAATAATATCTGATGAGTATAAAGTAGGTGTCCTCTACTTGTAGAATTGTTCTTTATTTCTTCGGTTTTAATGAAATTATGTCCTTTTTCCCCCTAGGTTACGGTCTTTGGTCAAACAGTTAGAAAGAGGGGAGGCTTCAGCAGTAGATCTCAAGAAGAATCTGGAATATGCAGCCACAGTGCTTGAATCTGTATACATTGATGAAACCAGGTAAGCTAAAAAATGACCAGAGCGATAAGTAAATGATGCTAAATTTTCTGTTAAATAGCTTAGTTTTATTAGTACATGTTTGTAGTACATAAGATTTACATTCGTTGGGTGGAGTTGGTATGTTCATAACACATCTTAGTTTCTTCTTTCAACCTCTTTCCCTTCCCACTCAACCCTTTTCCCATCCTTGGTCCCCTTCCTGCTTGAGAAAGATCTGTCTACTTCCTATTAGCTATGTTTCACTTTGCTCTTTATTTATAATTTGGGTCTCTTACATAAGAAAAATGTGAGATATTTAAAATAGCTTTTGAAACTGTCCCCCAAGGCAGGTAGGAGGTACTCATCAAATTAGTGGGTTGAAATATTGGTTTCCATAAACTCATGGGATAGATTTGGACAAGTCACATCCTCTGTATACATCTTCACCCATTAAGAAAAAAGCTAATAAAATTTATCTCACATGACTGTTGGGACCATGAACTAAGGTAATATAAAAGAAGAAATAATCCTACAATTTTAGTAAGATTTTCTTATATAGAGGGTTGCATTGTAATTATTGCATATTGTTATAATGTCAGTCTAAAAATTTGTTTGTCTTAATTGACAATTCCTGTAACTTGAGGCTCCAGAAGTGTTCCAGAAACATTTCTTCTCTTCAATCCCCAATATTCCCTCATTACTTATGTATATATTATTTATTTTCTTAGCCATTTGAATTATCTGAAAGGATTGAAGTAGTTTCCTGTACTAAGAATGTATTTGAAAGTAACAAAATTGCTTTTTCTTTTGAAAAATGTTGAAATGTTGAATATGAAAGCTATTTTTCTAATTAAAAAAGGCTCCTCTATCATTTTTTTTTTCTGGTACTGGGGATTGAACTCAGGACTTTGTGCTGCTGAGCTACATCCCTGGCCCCTTCTGTCAATATTTGTGATGTTTTATTTTCTTTGCCAGATTTCAATCACAAAGTATTTCACTGTAATAAGGATGATATGATTTATTTTTGTAGTGATATGATTTGTTTCTAATTTAATGAAATCTGATATCACAGTTTGTATTAGTCAGGTTCTCACTGCTGATAGAAAAACATCAACACCCACAATTTAAGGAAAGAAAAGTTTTTTTGATTCAATTACAGTGAGTTCAGTCAAATGTAGGCCAGTTCCAGTGCAGAAAATGCATGGTAGAAAGGCCACACAGAACAAAGTTGCTCACATCATGGCAGCCAGAAAGAGCTGGGAAAGAGGGGATGAGCTGGGAAAGGAGATATATCCTTCCAGGTTATGCCCCAGTGATGTGCCTCTTCTGAACCCACCTCTGAACATGAGACTTTTGGGGATTATGTTAGATCTAAACCATAGAATTCTGCCCCTAGCCCCAAGAGGCTCATATTTGTCTCACTATATAAAATACATTTAGTCCATCTCTTAAGAGTTGCCAAACTCTTGATAGTTCCAGCATTGCAAAAAAATCCCAAGCCTAAAGTCTCTGAGAGACTGAAGGCAAACTCTTAGACAGCTGTGAGCTTCTCTAAAAATCAAAAAAGAAAATCAAACACCTCCATCATATAATGGCACAAGGTAAATATTTCATTTGCAAAAGGGAAGATTGGGGGAAAAGAAAGAAATCAGACCAAAGCAAGGCTTAAATAAGCTGGGCAAAATTAAATACTGTAGTTCCATGCCCAGCACCTAGGGCAGATTATGTGAGATGTGACCTCCAACGGGCTTAGCAGGGCCAATTGGCATTGCCAGTTGCAGCCCACATGGCTTTTCTCTTTTTTTATCATCTTTTTTAAAACACTAATTTTATTGTTACATTTAATGTATACAATATAATGACATTCATTGTTGGAAATTCGTACCTTTACCTAATGAACCTTGGTTCTTATTTTTTCCCCATTCCCCTGCTCTCCCTTCATCCCCTCCTTTCCTCCTTATCTACAAAGACTGTTTGCATTGTTTTTCATTTTCTCATATTAATTCCATTCCCTTCTTTCCTTTCCCCTACCCCTCCTGTTTCCCTGTCCTCTTTTGTCCTTTTTCTTCCTATTTGACATCCATTACACCTTTTAGTCCTTATTTACACTTTCAGTTTCTTATACTAGAGAAACTTTTTGGTATTTATGTGTGTGCCCTCTTTATATCACTTAAGAGTATCGCCTCAGTGTGTATCCATTTAGCTATAAATGTCTCTAGTTTTTCATTTTTGTGGCTGAGTAATATTCCATTTTATTAAAAAACCAGTTTCTTCATCCAGTCTCCTATTAAAAATTGTGCTGCTATGAACATGGGTACACCTATATCACTATGGTGTGATTCTTTTAATTCTTTAGGGAAGATAGCCAGCAGGGGAATAACTGGGTCAAGTGGGACTTCTAATCCTAGGGTTTTTTGGGTTTTTTTGGTATTGAGGTTCGAACTCGGGACCTTGAGCTTGCAAAGCAGGTGGTAGAACCACTGAGCTAAATCCTCAGCCCCCCAATACTAGTTCTCTGAGGTATCTCCATACTGCTTTCCACTGTGATTACACCAGTTTGCACTCCCACCAAGAGTGGAGCAGTGTTCCTCTTCCCCACAGCATTGCCAGCATTTGTTATTGGTTGATTTCATGATAACAGCCATTCTTTCTGGGGATAAAAACCCCATGATCATCTCAACAGATGCAGAAAAAGCATTCGACAAAATCCAGTATGCAATCATGATAAAAAAAAAAAACCTACAAAATATTGGAATAGATGGTCTCTACCTCAATCTGACAAAAGCCATCTATGAAAAACCAACAGCCAATGTCATACTAAATGGTCAAAAACTGAAATCCTTCATGCTAAAATCAGAAACAAGAAAAGGGTGTCCACTATCACCACTCCCATTCAATATAGGTTTGTAAACATTAACCACAGCAATTAGACAAGAGAAAGAAATAAAAGGAATAAAAATAGGAAAGGAAGAAGTCAAATTGTTGTTATTTGCAGATGACATGATTCTATATATAAAAGACCCCAAGAACTCAACCAAAAGTCTTCTAGACTTAATAACCAAATTTAGTAAAGTAGCTGGATACAAAGACAACACACAAAAATCAATAGCTTTTCTGTACAAAAAAAACCAGATTCACAGAAAGAGAAATGGGGCAATCAGTTCCTTTCACATCAGCTTCTCTCTTGAGCGGGCTCCACTCACTTCCTGCAGCTTTTCTAGGCAGATGCTCTATATTCATCGCCAATGTCATGGGATCTCCAGTGAATCTTTGGCCTCATGCTCACTATGACCCTGTCATACATTTTTGCATGGCTTCTCAAGTAATCTTTAGAAGGCTTGGTGGAAGCCTCTGTGACCCCATAATTCTCGCATTCTTCATGCAAGAAAAACCAGCACTAACCACAGGGATGATGTGAAAGTCTCCCAGCTTGAGCAATGGCCTGTTCCCCTTGGACCATAGCTGCAGCAGCTTCTGAATGCTTGGATACCTGAGCTTAGGGATACACTTTCCTAGGTGACCCTAGGTGAGGTGGGTTCCCTGGGTATGTCTTTTCAAAGCAAAGTCTTCCTCTTTTATACCATTAAGCCTGTGAAGGGTGAGCTCTGGCCAAATCCAGAGATACATTTAAACCATCTTCTCTATTGTTCTGATGCAAGGTATTTGGCTTGTTTATAATACTAAACTTCTCAGCAGCCAAGTTGTTCTCACTTCCAAGTGCTCCTCACAGGCACTTCCTTTCTGGCCACCAGCAACATTTTTCAAATTATTCACCCTTGATTTTTGGTCCTCATCTGGCTAAAAGCAGCCAGTAGTATCGATGCCTCAGCTTCCGCATTAGACTGCGTTGAAATTTCCTCCTCTAGATTAATTAGTCAACTGCCCATAATCTCACTGTCCTACAGAATCCCAGGATATGTTGACAGTTGTTTTTCCAGAGTGTAACACAGCTGGCCTCTAGTCCAACTGCCAGTGGAGTCCTTGTTCCCACCTGAAACCTCCTGACCCTAGCCTTTACTGTCTGCATTCCTGTTATCATTCTGGTATTTTAAACTCTGACCGGTATCACACATCATGCATTGCTCAAACATTCTATAGCTTCTCTAGCCCATATCTCCAAACATTTCTAAACTCCTCCTATAAACCAGTTCCAAAGATTTTTAAGCCATATATTTAGGTATAGTCACAACAGTGACCCACTCCAGTTACTAATTACTGTCTTAGTCACTTTTCAGTCACCAAGACAAAATACCAAATATCTAAAACTTTAAAAGGGAGAGGTTTGTTTTGGCTCAAGAATTTTAGTCCACTGTGGCTGATTCCAAGGCTAACATGGCATGGTAGAAGGGCATGGCGGAGGAAAACTGTTCACTCGTCAGCAAGCCAGGACAGCAGGGCGAGACCAAGATGAGAAAACACACTCCCAGTGGTCAGCCCTACCTCTGAACATGAGATCTTTGGGTTACATTTTAAATCTAAATTATAGTTGGAGGTGAAAGGGAAAGGAGTACATAGGAGACAAGGAAAAAGCAAAAGCAAAGTCTTTGTAAATAGAGAGGGATGGAGGGTTAGAAGGGAGGGCAAAGGAATAGGGAAAAAAATAAGAACCAAGATATATCATGTAAAGGTGCAAATTCCCAATGATGAATGTCATTATATTGTATACCTAAAATGTACCAATAAACTTAATTTAAAAAATATAGCATATTCTTTCCAAATGTTATATTTACTCCTCTTCTTCCCAATTTATAAATCTAAAGAAACACACACACACGTAATTTTGCTTCTTATTTTTAGTAGTGCTTAATGTAAATATAAAATACAACTTTAGACTTTACTATAACATAGCTCTTTATGTTCTTTTCTAGTGGTCTGACCAATGACAAGTTTGATAAATAACTCAAACAAATGTGTTAAATCATTGTTCTAAAACACTGTATTATTTTGAAAGTTTTGTTTTAATTTAGAAACAAGATTCTTTTGTTTTTTTTTGTTTTTTTTTTTTTGAGACTGACCTGGAACTCACTATGTAGCCCAGGCTGGTCTTGAACTCACAGCTCACAGTGATCCTCCTGCCTCAGCCTCCCAGTGCTGGGATTACAGGTGTGCGCCACCACGCCCAGCTGAGAGGAAAGGTTTATTTTGGCTCCCGGTTCTTGAGAAGCTAGTCCATTGGTGCTTTTGAACCTGTGGCAAGGCAGCACATCATGGTGGGAGCATATGATGGAGTAAAGCTGCTTACCGCATGGCAGGGAAACAAAGGAGAGAAAAAAGCAGAGTTAAATCCCATAGATCTTTCAGGGGAACATCCCCAATAGCCCAGAAACCTAATAGCCCCTACCCTGTTAAGTTTCTGCCACCTCCCAATAATGCTAATGACTGAGGACAAAGAGGACTTTGGCAGACATTCCAGATCCAATGTGTGACATTCAGTTGTAGTCAAGAGAGTTATCCTGAAATGGCTGAGATTTCACCAGCCTTATTAAAATGACGCAGTGTTCAGAGAAAGAGCTGTGTTGTGAAGAAAGGGCTCTCACTTCAGATTTGTTCTGTGTTCTGGTGATGTTTCTTCTGCTCAGGAGACTCCTGGATACGGAGGATGAGCTCAGTGACATTCAATCCGACGCTGTGCCTTCAGAGGTCCGAGACTGGCTGGCCTCCACCTTCACAAGGCAGATGGGCATGATGCTCAGGAGGAGTGAAGAAAAGCCCAGGTTCAAGAGCATCGTCCACGCAGTTCAAGCTGGAATATTTGTGGAGAGGTAAAGATGCCATTCAATGACCGAAGCAGTAGAAGGAATGCGTTTCCAGTAACTGGAAAATATGTGTTAGTTTTAAGATCTTTAAAAGCACTGAAAATTCTGGATGGAAACACCCTTGACTGGGAAAAATGAAACCAGAGCTATTTAAACCTGCGTAGAATTATTAGGGCAAGCTTTTTCCTTTGCTCAAATTCTTTTTGCTAAGCAGAGAAGATTTAGTTTGAGTTTAAACAAGAAAAATCAACTGTTTCATCATCCTTTAAAATATGTGAGTGTCCACCTTCAGAACAGGTCAAGGCTATGTTGAACTAACTCAAGGAGGACAGTTGGTTTAAGGGGTCTGACTTCCCCATCGCACTTCAATTTTGTCATCCCTTTGAAATTGAATTAATTTCTATCCTTGAAATAGATTTATTTTATTTTCCTGCAGTTCCCATTGTGCACATTTTAGAAATGCCATAGTGAGTTCAAAGTTCCCTTGGGACATTTTTCCTGCTTCTTTTTGATAGTTCTAAATTGGGTACCCACAAGAGTTCTTCATTCAGGTTCATGTATGCTGGGTCCACTGTACTATAATTGTTTGGTGCAAAACAAGTAACCCTTTTTAAAAATATAATCTGCAATCAGGAGTACACAGACTTCAAATTTTTTCCCTCAGTGGTTCGTGTGTTTGAGATTGCTTTAATTTGGTTTGATTTTAACATTGAGACCACATAAATGACTTTGAAAATATCACAAAAGGAATTTAAGTAACTTGGATCCCCAAACGTCTTGATTTAGATAACTTGAGTCTCCAAACATCTTGATTTCTCATTATCTGTCAATGCTTTGTGTAAACCTGTGGATTGGTAATCCTTTTTTGTACGATATCACACTGCATCTTTCTGACTTTGACAGAATGTATAGACGGACATCAAACATGGTTGGACTGAGCTACCCACCAGCTGTTATTGAAGCATTGAAGGTAATACCAGTACCAGATTTTACAATGTACCTGTTACCTCTTGAATTTATAGTTAAATTTGTTGTTAGAAAATAAGAGGCTTCCTTTACAGTTCTTTTTCTAGTTATTCCTCTCTTTGCCTCCCTATTTTATCTAAGAATCAAACTCCTGGGCCCAGGGATTTAGCTCAGTGTCACAGAGCCTGCCTCATAAGCGCAAGATCCTGAGTTCGATCCTTTGTACCACCCCCCGCCCCAAAGAACCAAAACCTCAATGAATTTTGTTTCTTTTTGTTCCCTAGTGTTTGGTTGTGTACAATGATCTAGCATTATAAAGTTTGCCTGACTTTGACCATCAGAAATCAAACATGTTATGACAAAAGTATTTACCACTAGCAGGATCTGTAGTGATTATAATTCTATCGTTATCTAGTTACTCATGCCAAGTTCGTTATATGGATAAGAAACTAAGATTAAATAACATTTTAAAAAATTGAATAGAAATAGAGCTGACATTTGATAGCAGAATTTCCAACACACAGTGAGTTCTCAGTAACATTTTGTTGATAAATGTGTGTTCCCTAAACCTTGTCCCTTCCATATATCTATATATTCTCCCCTCCATATGTGTTTTCTGAAGACTCACAGTGAGTTAATCATTTCAGAGGAAGTCCTACAAATGATTGCATTTAAATGACCTGACTCCTGTAGAGTTATTCCCAAGTAGCCAACTCTTAAAATTATATAGAATAGTTCTAAGAGCCCTAAAGCAAAAGTATTTCTCTAGGCAGTAGTTAATTCATATCCACTTGTCTGAGACTGATACACATATTTTGTACATGCTTTACTCTGGATTCCAAGGTGGAGCTGTCCTGGGGCCCAGGGTTATTGGGTTCGTTGACATTTCATCTTTCTCCCATGGAGTTGACCCATTTTTTTTCAGGAGCATTATAGAATTCTGACTTCTGCTAAAGCCATTATCTTTCTCTGAAACCTGTAAAACTATGACCTGATGATATTTTCAGAAAAGAAATTAGCTATTCAAGGAATTGGTGATGAAAGTGCCTCAGTTAATTTAATGTTGAGAAAAAACCTATCTTAATTATATATTTATAGTTCTTCCTCTTATCTCAGAGACATTCAGTAAGTGAATTTGCTATACATATGTGTGTGTGTTTGTGTGTGATGTATCCGCTTTTGCCATTTTTCTCTATATATATTTCCTGTCTCTTCTTAACTCCTATAAGAATAGGAAGGGTACAGCAGTGGCCACATGTTTTCTCTGAGCCCATCCTAACCCCCCTCTACTGTTGAAAACATAAATCTAACAATATTTTCATTTAATCAGTTGTATCACTTCATGAGAGCTGTTGTTTAATAACACTCACTCTGAAATTGCACTGATTTTCATAATTAAACCTGAAATGTTCAGTGAAAGCCTTAAGAACATTACAAGAATATTTCAATTTGTAATTTCTTCCTTTCTCGTGAACACAAACACTGGTGGGTATAAGGACACTGAGACATTTATGAGAATGTTGTTTCCAAATTGAAGCCTCTTTTCTATGCAGAATAACTGGTGAGGGGAGACAGGGTGACCAGAAACTTGGAACAACCTGTGATGTGCATGAACTGTTATTGTACACCTAAGGATAAGAAACTCTTAGATACATACAGGTCTTTCTCAGAGGCAAGGCACTTAAACTCTTCAGACCAGGAATAAGAACTAACTGGTTGCCCTTCTCCACATGTATTCCTGATGTATGTAGAAAGGTGAAAGCTGCTGTTTCTCTTGGTCCTGTCCCCTGTCAACTGGGGAACTTCAAAGGCTTCTTGCTTTGTTATATTTTTCCAATTCCCCAAACTCCTGGTTTTTTTGCCGTGGTTTGGAGGTGAGTTGGAGAGATACAGTGATAAGTTCCCTTTTTTCTTTTTTTGTATAGTGCCTGTTGGGGGGAAGAAAAAAAGGTTATTTCCACTTTACTGCCAGGGGTTTATATGCAATCACTTTTTTTTTCTATTACAGAAAACTTCCCCCCAAACTGAGTGGCTATAATTCACTAAAATAAGCATTATTCCACTGTCACGTTAATTTTTGCAGTTAATGTAAGCAAATGGCATAAAATGATTTTAAAGTTAGAGAATAATTAAGCACCAGTCAGCTCCAAATTTGAATTAAGTTGAATTTATTCTTTTTATTTTTCCCACTCAATACATATTGGCTTCTAATTTGAGGTATTTTATCTCTGATCTTCTGGGGTGTGGTTACTGGAAATGCAGAAGCATGCTCTTCTTAAGAAGGGCATTTACCCTATGACTTAGGAAGCGACTCCTTGGACAAGCTCCAGACTTAAAGTGAGAGGAAAGGTGGCGATTCGGCTCCCCTCAGGTTGTACTAACAGAGGCTCATACAGTTTCTTCTTGAAAATGATCTTTGAACAAACTGGGTAAAGAAGAAACATGGTTCAAGGCAGCTACATGGGTGCTTGTTAAAAATGCAGATTCCAGATCCAGGATTCCTCATAGTCTTGTGTCTGCACCCCTCCCACACCTCTAGAGAATGTTGTTTAGTGAGGCTCCTGTGTGGTTTGGAAGAACATTGAAATTTGAGAACCATGGTTAAGATTTCCATAAAATAGGTGTCCAAAGGGAATGAATATTCTCCTCACTGAATTCACTCATCCTTTCCTTTCTCTGAGTACTAATATCTAGAATAGAGTTCAGCTGTTTATATGATGATCTCTTTATTTCCAGTGGTAGAGGGCTTGGCACAGCTTTTCTTTTCTTTCTTTTCTTCTCTTTTCCACATTCTGGAGAGTAAGGTTAAATGTTATCAGACATGACAAAGTTGTCATTTAGTTGTCAGTGGCTTTTTCTTCAGAACAAGGATCAGACAATGGCTGTGACACATTGCAGTGCCAGTTATAGTAACCAAGGTAAAGCTTCAGGTCTCCAGTAGATCTTAAATGGCTTTGCTGCCTATTTTCTAGGCCTAGCTGGGAATCTCCTAAATGAGGCCTGGGTTGCAGCGCAGGTTCCTTGAGGTTACATTGTCATCGGTCAGCATGACATCTGCAGCCTTTCATGGGATTATTGACACTTGCTAAAAAGGATCTATAGTCATGTGTAACATAGAAATCATTTACCAACTAGCTATGATAAGTTTATTTTTTTAACTGTAAATGTTGTATGGGACTGTAAGATAGGAAAAAAAACATTTGAGGATGGAGAGTGTGTTGCAGTCTTGTGCTGTGAAATCCCGGGTGAGGGCTGTAGGCCCATGAAAAGTGAGATGATGGGTAGCTGTGTGACTGTAAACTAATACATTCCTTCTTCCTTTCCTGTCCTGTAGGATGTGGACAATTGGTCCTTCGATGTGTTTTCCCTCAATGAGGCCAGTGGGGATCATGCACTGAAATTCATTTTCTATGAATTACTCACACGCTATGATCTGATCAGCCGTTTTAAGGTCAGTACCTCATTAAAAAAGATAAGTAAACAATATACAACTTGTCTATCTTTAAATGATTTGGGGGATAAGGCCACTAGAATCAATCTATCTATCTATCTATCTATCTATCTATCTATCTATCCATTTATTTTGTGCAACTAGAGATTGAGTCCGGGATCTTCACACTGAGCTACATTCCCAGACCTTTTTTGTTCATTTTAACACAGTGTCTTGCTCAGTTGCTCAGACTGGGTTCAAGCTTGAAGCCCTCCTACCTCATCTCCCCTGAGTGCAGGGATTACCAGTATGCACTGCCACACCTGGTTTGAGAATTCTAGTGCAAAGGCCGCCGATCAGTCCTTTTACATAGACAGAAAACTGCTCTGGGTAACTCAGGAAGCGTCTTTATGTGTCTGTCACTGCTGTGCATCCTTCCTTGGTGCTTTCAGTCACACCATGACTGGGGCATCTCATTGGCAAGGAGACTGGTGAGAAGCCCTTTTGGATCTCAGTCTTTCCTGGAATTACAGCCCAAAGCCTACAGTGACTGTGCTTCCCTGTGGGCACTGCCCACAGACCTCGGTTCAGCACCACAACATGTACTATCAACCACTGCTGTCAGAGAGATGGTAATGGAGACAGACTGAGCCTCTGTGCCTCTGTAAACTTCTTTTCCAGCCTTTGGCTCTTTCAGACAAATACTTCCACTTATCATCAGTGACAGACCACTGATATTTCCCAGCCACTCGTGCTTTAAATTAATTCTTCACTTTAAATACACAGCATGAAGTGTCTCTGTTGCTCAGCTGTCGCATACCCTGGGCACCCAAGGTCAGACCAGATCCTCAAGGAAACGTGTGCATTTATGGGGCAGCATCTCACCGATCAGGCTCTCTGCGTCAGATGGATGAGCCTCTGGAAAATACAGTCATTTTCTGTGCAACACGTTAGTTTCTCTCTATAGTGTGGTTCTTTGTCATTATTTTAAGAACTCCATATTGGAGGATGTGTTTCTTTTACATCCGTAAATACTTTATAGCAGTGGCCCTTAGGTGCCTCAACTGTTTTGTGTCAGAAACCTACATGAAAATCTGGAGGGTGCTGGAGTCCCTCTCGGTAGGGAGGAAAAGGTGCCATGCACAGACACACACACACACACACACACTCACTTTTGCTTAGCTTTGCACTGGCTCACTTATTTCCAAAGGACAACTCAACAGCCTCGGGTCCCTCTTTGTTTTATTTTATGGGTTTTTGTTTCGTTTTGTTTCTTAAGTGCTGAGGATTGAACCTAGCGCCTTTGCATTAAACTACATCCTTATCGTTTTTTATACTTCTTATTTTGAGACAGGGTCTCCTTACATTAGTTACCCATGCTAGGCTCAAAAGTGAAATCTTCCTGCCTCAGCCTCCCAGAGTGCTGAGATTATGAGGTGTATGTTCATTTTTTTAAAATTGATAATGAGTTAATCTCTTAAGAGCCTACTTAAATTTTTAAAAACTGACAAATGGTGAACATGGAAGAATGCATGAAGGAAGACTAGATTATGGAATCTCAGATTTGTTGCAATAGCATTTTCCTTAGTTTTTCTTTCTAATGTGGTAATTAGTCTCCAGAATGCATAGCCTCTCTCTCTCTCTCTTTTTTTTTTGGTACCGGGGTTTGAACTCGGGTCCTTGCGCTTGCAAGGCAGGCCACTGAACCGCTGAGCTAAATCCCCCAGCCCGCTCTTTTTAAAACTTCAATACTTTATCATAAACCATGGCATTGGTCCCAAAAGCTAGTACGGTGACAATGAATTTTCTAGGATCTGCTTATTTTGTGCACATCTCATAATAATTCTTAACTCTTTGCCGCATAGAAAAGGAAGCAAAGTACATTACACATATTTGAGATGGAATAGCAAGTAAGACAGTTGGAAATGTTGACCTAAGTCACTGGTGGGTCTAAGAAAAGGATCAAGTCTTTTATATTTTAAGAAATAAATGAATATATACTATGCCCCACATCTCATTTATTTATAGGAAAATAAGTACATGAGTCTCTTGAATTATAAAATTATTATAAAATAGACACAGTATCAAAGGAAACACTGGCTTTCTGCAAACCGGGTCTTGGCTGTATGTGTTGGACATGGGGTTGGGATGAGGTGAGAGGGGGAACAGAGAACAGCTATCAAAAACCAAAACCCAGACCATAGCATTGCAGTCTGTTATATTTTGGAACAGAAATAGGATATGTTCTTACATGTATTATTTAGCAGTATATTGTTGCTAACTTCCAGTCTGGAGGATCTCATTGCACTGATACTTATGTTACAAATAGTGACTGAGTTCACTAACTGGAACTAATTATTAGTGTTCTCTCTATGTCAATCAGTACTGTTTCCAACACTGTAGGGTGTCCTGTGCAGCATCCTTTTCCCCCTTAGGATTATGGCGGAAGACTGAGGATAGATGAGGACTAGCACAGACACCAGTAACTTAGTTTTCTGCATTTGCATCAAAATCATTGCCTTATATGTAAGCAAAAATGATGAAAAGTTGTAATTTCCTTTCTTGATGTTGAATGCCTCCAGAAAGGCATCTAAAGGTGCCTTAGACTTTTACTTCTTTGAAAGCAACAGTTAAGTTTTCTGCTCTCTTTCAGATCCCCATTTCTGCACTTGTCTCATTTGTGGAGGCACTGGAAGTGGGATACAGCAAGCACAAAAACCCTTATCATAATTTAATGCATGCTGCTGACGTCACCCAGACTGTGCATTACCTCCTCTATAAGACAGGAGTAGCGGTAAGTAAAGACAGGAACTCCCAGATCTCACCAAAAATCTGAGGATCATTTCCAGCTCTGTGAGACTGAGCCATGAGGAATACACTGTTCTGTGGGCTCCCTGCTCCTGAGTTATCTAAACACCTGATGCCTCTGACCTCTTCTCCATCCCGGACTTGATGAAATAGATATCTGCTTGTGGCTGGCATTTCACTAGGTTATGACCAGTTAAAATACAAACTGCTAGAAATTATATTTCTAGATATGAAGAGGTCATTTTATCGACCCCTTGTTATGGACAATAACAGTGATATTCATACATATTGAAATTGTATTATAGACCCAGCAACCACGTTACACCAAGTCAGTTTTTGACTTAAGCTGCTTGGGTCTTTTTTCAGGGATTGTGGTTCACATTCTATTTGTGTGCATTTGATTTTTTTGAACCTGAAGATTAATCTTTATTTCTGATCATCTGAATTTCTCTTGCTTGCTATAACTCTGCTCTTTAGACATTTTGTGTTCTCTATCCTGTAAACCAGTGGGTTAATGGACCTGCTCAACTTGGTTATCTGTGCCTTTGCCTTTTTTGCTGGATGTAACCATTAACTTTAAAAGGTATTTCTGTCAGTGACAGAGACAGATCTCCATGGCTTTTTTTTTTAAATCCCCTTCAGAATTGACATCAAGATAGACATTCTTTGGTTATGGTTATCAGTTAGTCGTAAAGCTTGTGCACATTTGTTATCTTTTCTGTCAGGATGTGTTGAAAGACTCATTTTAATTTTAATATTTCACTGAATTAAAAATGTAAGGAAGTGGGAGGAGTACGGGTTATGGAGCTAGATATAGTGGCTATAAATCTCTGCTTAATTACTTATTAGATTTTTGTGATCTGTGATAAATTACTTGAGCCTTTGAGCAAGATTTTTTCATTTGTAAAATGGTGAAAAATACTCCACCTTGCACAAGGGCTTTGACAGGAGAAAGATTTCAAAACATTAAGTTCCCTCTCTGCCTCATAAAAGAAGCACAATAATCAAGAATTGTTATTAAAGCATTGGAGAATTTACCCAAAAGCAATGACCATTTTTTTAGTTCTTATAAAGCTGACTTCTTAAAATATTACTGAAAAGTTTATTTTTAAATTACACACAAACTGGAGAGAGAACTTGTTTAACTTGATAAAATTAGTTCAGACAGCGCATTTAATGGTAGTTCCATGAAAGAATGGCATAAAACAGAAGTACATACATGAATATTGCTCTTGAGCATTTTTCTAGAGCTCTCAGCTAATGCATTATCATACTTTAAAAAGGTGAATGTCCACTCTGAAAATCATGAAAACCAACCACAGATTATTTGATCAGATAAAAGATCCTCAATAAGGTCTGAATAAAAGATTTTTCCTATACGCTGGAAATTAATAAGTATACTAGAAAAAATACATTCCCAACATTTCATTTATCTTTAAATTTTTTACTAGTGCTATACATGTTGCAGCACGTGATGACTGCCTTCCTTGTGGGTAGTTAGCACGTGTGCATAACACATCTTAATTGTTTTTCATCTCCTTCCCACCCTTTCTTCTCCCTCCGTCCATTTCTTGGTCTTCTTTTGCAAATAATCTGTCTCCCTATTTCTTATTATTTATCTTTAATTTTGCTCTTTGTATATTTGCGTTTCTCATTGAAGAGAAACTACACAATATTTAAGTTTGTGTCTGATTTATTTCACTTATTCCTCAAGGTGCATATATTTTCCTTAAAATGACTGAAGTTTATTCTTTTTCATAAAAGTAGTACTTCATTGTATATAGATGCCACCCTTTCGTTATCCATTCATCTGTTAATGATCACATGGGTCTTGTCCAAGATTAGCGTGTGTTGTGCTTGTAGATGTATCACTGTAATATGCTGTCTTTAAGTCCTTTGGGAAGATACCTAGAAGGAGAATAGCTGAGTCAAGTGAAATTTCTGTTTTTACTTTTCGGAGGAATCTTTGTACTGTTTTCTGTGATGGTTGTTGGTTGTACCAGTTTACATTTCCATCAACAAGGGAAAAGGGTTCCATTTTTCCTTGCAACCTCTCCAGTATTTGTTATTATTTGATTTATTGAAGATAGCAATTCTTTTGGAACAAGATGGGATTTGTGTTAAATCTGCATTTCTCTAATGGCCAAGCATTAGACATTTGGTTGAACATTAGACATTTGTACTTCTGAGAAATGTCTATTTGTTTCAGTTAGCAATTTTTTAAATTTACTCTTTTACTTTGTAAGCATCTAATTTTTTTTTAACTTTTTTTTTTTTTTTGGTACCGGGGATCAAACTTGGGTCCTTGCTCTTGCAAGTCAGGCAGCGGAACCACTGAGCTAAATCCCCAGCCCTAGCTCCTTTGTATATTGCAGATATTAGTCATCTGTCTGAGGAATAGTTGACAAAATTCTTTTCCCATTCTGTAGTTTGTCTCTTCACGCTTGGTTATTTCCTTTGCTATGTAGAAGCCTTTTAACTTGATCCCATTTGTTGGTTCTTGTTATGCTTCTTGTGTAATTTGGGTTCTGTTCAGAGCCCTTGCCCATGCCTCTGTCTTCAAGAGTTTTACCTATTTTATCTTCCAGCAGATAACATGTTTGTGTTTCAACATTTATGTCTTTGGTCCACTTTGATTTTAGCTTAGTACATGGTGAGAAATGTGAATCAAGAGTAAATCTGGCTGCATTTGCCCATCAGTTGGAGACTGGATAAAGAAGATGTGGTTTTTCTATAAGATGGAGTACTACTAAGCCATAAAAATGAGAAATTAGACTATTCATAGGAAAATGGATACATATTGAGGATATACTCCTAAGTGAAATAAATAAGTCACACATGTGTAAATACCGAATAGTTTCTCTGGTGTGAATAAACTGTTATAGTACCTGAGATCCTAAGGAGATAACTGACATTGTGAAATGGGAAGAAAAGGGCTAAAGGTATAGGGAAAGTTGGAAGGGTAGGGGAAAGGTAATAAGAGAAAAAAATAGGGGAAAATGAAAAAATGGAAATAAAGTGTTTGTAAATGGGGAGGGGAGGAGGGAATGAAGAGAGGGCAGGGACAGTGGGAAGAAATGAGAGCCAAGACCACCTGTCATGTAAAGGTACAAGATCCCAATAATGAATGTAACTGTACTGTATACCTAAAATGTACCAATAAACTCAATAAAAGAAAAAAATAGTAAATTGGGCTGGGGATTTAGCTCAGTGGCACCATGCCTGCCTCGCAAGTGCAAGGTCCTGAGTTTGATTCCCAGTACTTAAAAAAAAAAAAAAAAAGAGTAAATCATCTGCCTATGGACAGCCAGTTTTTCTAGCACTATTTGTCAAAGAGGCTATCTTTTCTTCTGTGTATGTTTTTGGTCTTTTTTCCAAAGATCAGATTGTTAAATGTACATAGGGTCGTTTCTGTATGTTTTCTTCTGTTTCACTGATGCACATTTCTGTTTTTGTGCCAGTGCCATATTGTATTTATTACTGTAGCTTTGAACGTCCAGAGCTGTGATGCCTCTTGGTTGGTCTTGTTGCTCAGGATTGCTTTTGCCGTTCTGGGTTTCTTCTGGTTCCGTGTGAGTTTTAGGAATGTTTTCACTAGGTCTGTGAGGAATGCTAAAGGTATTTTAAGTGCGATTGCATTAAATTTGTGTATCAGTTTTGGGATTGTGGCCCTTTTGACAATATTGTTTCTGCCTGTTCAGAACAGGGAATATTTTTACATTTTCTGACATTTTCCATCTTTTTCAGACTAGTTTTTTTTTTGGCGGGGTGGGGGTACCAGCCATCAAACTCAGGTCCTTGAGCTTGAGAGGCAGGTGTCAGAACCACTGAACCAAATCTCGGCCCTACTATAATTTTCATTTATAAGTCTTTCACTTCTTTGCTTAGATTAATTCCTATTTAATTTTTCTTGATGCTATTATAAATGGTCTTCTTCCTAATTTTGTTCTTGATGGGTTCTTTACTGGTATTCAGGAACAGTATTGAGTTTTGTGTATTCATTTTGTTTTTTGTTTTTGTTTTTTTTTGTTTGTTTGTTTTTTTTGGTACCGGGGATTGAACTCAGGTCCTTGTGCTTGTGAGGCAGGTGGCGGAACCACTGAGCTAAATCCCTGGCCCTTGTATATTCATTTTGTATCGTGGTACACTACTGGTTCCTTCTATGTGGAGGATCATGTCATCTTCAAATAATGATAATTTTACTTCTTCCTTTCCTATACATATCTTTCATATTTCTTCCTCTTGCCTGATTGCTCTGGCTAATATATCGAGTATTATATTTAACAGGAGTGGTGATAAAGGACATCCCTGTCTTGTTCCTGATTTTAGAGGGAATGTATTCAGCTTCTCTTCATTTAATATGATTTTAGCCATTGGTTTGTAGCTTGTATCAAATTGACATAAGGTCCATTTGTACCTAGTTTGTTTTTTTTTTTTCAGAGTTTTTTTTAATCACAAATGCATGTTGGATTTTTATCAGAGCCTTTTTCTGATCTGTTGAGATGGTCATGTGATTTTTGTCCTTGCTTCTGTTTATGTGCTACATTACATTTATTGACTTACACATTTTGAACTGTCCTTGCATCCATGGGATGAAATTTACTTAGTCATGATTTATAATTTTTTGGTGATTTATTGAATCCCTTGTATAAGAGACTCCAGAGAGCTCTCTTCTCCTTTTTGCTGTGTGGAGATACATCAGAAGGTGCCTTTTAAGAAATGAATTTTCACTGGACACCAACCAATACCTTGATCTGTGTCTCCAGAGCTGTGGAAAATAAATTTCTGTTGTTTATAAGCCATTCAATCTGTGACACTAAGTTCGTGTAACCCAAATGAACTAAGACACAGGATGAGGACACATGAGTGCCATTACAAAACTTACATTCTAGTGGTAAATTAGAAGAGACCAGGAAAAAGTAAACAAGAAAATACCACTAATAGTCTGCAGAGAATTAAAATAGGGGCGCTAAGTGAGGAGAGCAG